TTTCCCTAATTCCAGCTCTATTTTCCAATGGTCACCTACCAGTGCCCCCAGAAAATTCCTCCTGCCTCTCTGGACCCCACCAGCCCTGTCCCTCCTTCTGGCCCAGCCTGGCCCCCATGTGCTATCTTCTCAAGGGTGGAGATGAGGCTGAGGGTCTTGGGGCCCCGGTCTCACTCAGCATGGGGTGGGTACAGAAATAGGCACGTACCTGGGAGAACCCTGGTGGGGGGCCCGAGGCCCTCACTCTGGCTGTGCCCCGGCACCTGCAGGAGCCTCGGTTTCTGTTCAGGGACTGCACGTCAGCGGGGTGGGGCGTTGCCCCAAGTGGTTCCTGTTTCCTTAAGTAGGTGAGCCCTGGGCGGGGACTAGGACACCGCCGTCCCCGCCCCCCCACCCCAGCCCCATCTGCTGTCTGACGGAGCTGCTGAGCTGCATGCAGGTGGATAGACACCCTTGCTCCATCCAGACCTCGACAAGCCTTTATTGAGCACTTATTGTGTGCCAGATCCTCAGGGAACAAAAGAGGTGACCCCAAGACAGGCATAGGTCCTGCCCACCCAGCATCTATAACCTGGTGAGAAACAAAGAGAAGTGAGAAATGATTAATGTCATTGTTTCAAAGTGGACAGCCTGTCAGGAAGGGGGAACTGGAGTTGCAAGAACCCCGCAGAGGGGGGCCTAACTGATCTGGAGGAAAGGGCTTGCTGGGGGGGCAGGTAGGAATCAACTTGATTGCCGGGTTGTTGCACAGAAAGAGTGCTCTAGGGGGAGGGAACAGCACAAACAAAATCACTGAGGCAGGATTGAGCCTGCACAGGCTGAGGCCTCACTGCGTGCCACAGGGCTACATTATGACTTCCTCTGTAAGAAAACAAACAAACAAAAAGAACACACCCATTTAAAATTATTTTTTATAACCGCCTTGATATCAAGACTAACGTAACCTGGGCTGGATTTATTTTATATATTCATTATTATTGTATCCATTTTTTTCTCCTGATTTTAAAACACTAAAACATTTTGGGGGCCCCTACACACATTGTGGGCCCTGAGTGTGGGAACCCCTGCCTAGTAGATCAGCTAGCCCCAGATGTGTGCTGGCTGCCTCACCCGTCCCCGGCACACAGGCAAAACCACTTCCTCCTCCCTTTTCAGAGAGAAACGGCCCAGATCCTTGTGGCCGAGCTGGGGTCCTCCCTGCGGACCTATCACCCTGGTGCAGCTGGTATAGATAGCCCCCCCATTGCAGGCTCAAGATGGATGCCATCACCATCCCCTGCTCCTGGGGTTGTTGACGGGGGTTGGGGGTGGTGGTGCTGGCCTTGTCTGGAGCCTGCGGGTCAGTAAGGCTCAAACAGGAGATAAATAGAACCTGGTTTCTCACTCACTCACTGTACGGCTTTGGGTGAGTCACTCAAACTCTTCTGGGCCTCAGTTTCCTCATCTGTGAAGTGGGCATGAAGATAGCCCTCCTTAGTCACGTGACGGCGATTAGGCAAGACAACCTTCAAGCATGCAGCATGGGGCTCAGTTAAGAGAAATATTAGGACTCTTCCCTGTGACTTAAGCTGATGCCTTTGTGCCTGGCTGGGGTAGATGCTGGTTTGGCCTCCAGATCTCACAAGCTGGGCTGCCTTGGGCAACTCATTTCACCTCTCTGATCCTCCATGCATTCCATGGCCCAATGGACCAGGTCCCAGCCTCGAGGAGAAGAGCAATTCCTTGGGCAGGGGATCAGAATTGTCCTTGTCACTTAGAAAGTCTGGCCATCGGGGATCTCATTTACATAGAGTTCAGTCTCCAGAAACATGAGGTGTTTCAGTTCACCTCCAGCCTGTCCCCCTGAGGCCCAACCACAGAGGGCACCACCCTGATTAGTCTGACCTGCCTGCGGGGTGGGGGGGGGGATGTGGTCTTTCCCAAACTAATGTCCTCCCCTGAGACTGTCACAACAGAATCATCCCCCATCTCTTGGTGGCCACAGTCTTTGAACATGGCCCTCAGAGGAACATTCCAGAAGGGGACCAGCAGGGAGATGGTGGGGCTGGGAGACTCCAAGGCCCCTGCCCCTCTGAAGTCAGCCCCTTACCCTTCCAAAGTCAGGTCTGGGCTTCTCACTGGAGGCCCCAGTTGGTGAGTGGGACATTCACTGGCCCCTATGTGGGGTGGCTCTCAGGGTAGGTGGCCACAGTGGTGTCTCAGCCCAGGGATATGCTGGGGCTGTCGATGTCAGGGGTGGGGAAGATCTTAGGCTCTGTCAACTCTGGGCTTTAAGCAAGTTCACAGTTCTCTCATTCTCCAATGCCTCCATTCTATTCATTCATTCCACAAAAACTGACTGAGCCCCAACTGTGGGCACCATGTTAGATGCTGGGGATGAAGCAGAAGACAAAACAGGCCCTGTCCATGTCATGCTGGAGCTCATACTCCACGGGGAGACTGATGCCACAGAAGTCCACATGCAGGAGAGGCTGGCAGAAGAGGAGACAGCAGGGGCAAAGGCCCTGGGATAGGAACAAACTTGGCACACTTGAGAAACAGACAATAGGCAAAGTGTCCAAAAGGTGGAGACAACCCAAACATCCATCAGTGGATGAACACATAAAAGATATGGTCCATCCACACAGTGGAATACTACGCAGCCATAAAAAGAGATGAAGCTCATGACTGATCTCAAAAACTTTATGCTGAGTGAAAGAAGCCAGATGCAAAAGGCCACATAGCGTGTGATTCTATTTATACGAAACATGCATAGACAAATCCATAGACAGAAAGATTAGTGGTTGCCAGGGACTGAGGGAGGGAGAATGGGGAGTGACCGCTAATGGGTACTGAGTGATAAAAATGTTCTAAAATTGACTCTGGTGATGGTTGCACAATGCTGTGAACATAGTAAAGACTACTGAATTGCACACTTCCGTGGGTGAATTGTATGGTGTGTGAATTACATCTCAATAAAGCTGTTATCAGGAAAAGAGCCAATGTGTCATCTGTCTCGGTACAAGAGGATGGTAGCTGAGGAGCTGCTCCCCACCTGCCACCCCATCAAAGTCTTTAGACACAAGGAATAGTAATGACTCTCTGAGCAAGAGGCTGGTACAGGGTCTGACTGAGGAGTTCAAGGATGCCACCTGACCTGGTTGGGGGGGCCACTGGTGGAATTTTGGGGCATTATGAGGCAAATACTTACAGCTCAAAGCTGTAAGCTACTTGGATGACTTGTTCCCCATTAGAGACAAGGTGTAAAATGAGAGGTGAACTTTTCTCTTGGGGCACAAGACAAATAATGATGCTAATGATAATGGATATGAATATGATGACACAATGTGATAGCAGTTAGCTTGGGATGCGCCCTCACGGGATCTTCATAGCCATCCTATGAGGTGGCAACTATGATCATGCCCAACTGAGGCTCAGCCCCTGGTTGTGCCGTGGGTCTGAAGCAGGATCATGGGGAGACTTCCTGAGAGGTGGAGGGGGGCTCAGAGTGGAGCGCTCAACTTGGCAAAATGGGTGCAGTAGGGATCAAGACGAGAGAAACTTGGCGGCATGATGGGGACTGATGTGGACCGAGAGGGTTAAGCAGGGGGTGTGGTGTATGAAGTGGTGCTGCGGCGGGGGACACCTCCTCGTGTTTCTGTGCTGCGTGTGTTTGGGGAAGGGGGCAGGTTGGGAAGCTTATTCTCCCGTCAGTCTTTTGATAATGTGTCACCTCCTCAGAGCTTGGGGTGACCTTCTCCTCCAGCTTGGGGTAACCTGCCACCTCTACTTTGATCTTGTCCAGACCTGAGGCCCCTGCTGACCTGGGCTGTGTCTTAAATAGCGGGCATCCTGTGAACCCAACATCTGGCCACATCTGTGTACCTACACAGAGAATGTGGACATAAAAATCCGTTAACTTTAAAATGAGCTTTAATTTGTTTTCCTTAAGTGCATTTATCGATGTAAACAGAGCATGTTAAGAGATACCAAGGGGAGAGCAGACGATTGCTGGTATGTTGGTTTTAATTCAAAAAAAAAAGAAAAAGAAAGGCTCCCTGGTGACACCCCCCTGACCTGGTTACCTGGTCCCGACTGCAGTCTCCACGGGAAGGCAGAGATGTCAAAACAGAACTGAGTAATGGCAGTTAAAAACCCACCCAGACTGCTCTGCAGTCAGCCCCGCAGGCCACCCCACACTCAGCCACGTCCGAGAGGTTGGGGGGGGGGGGGGGGGGGG